TTTGACATTTCGTGCGGGACTCGGCGGGGTGGCTTAACTTTCTTTCCGCCCCGGTGTAAAACATCGACGTGATATGAGCGATGTCCTCGCCGCGCGTTATTCTCGCTATGAAATAACGAGATAAATTCGCCGCACGAGTCGTGAGCTATTTTCCGGTAGATCAGACTCCCCAAGTGTCCCCGCGATGAGAGAGAGAGAGAGAGAGAGAGAGAGAGAGAGAGAGAGAGAGAAAGAGAGAGAAGAGAAAGAAAGTCAGACTAGTCGGTACTCTCGAATATTACGAAGCTGATTTACAGCAACACAACCGCCCCCTCTCGCCCGGCGGCTTTCTTTTTATATGCAAATTGATCCTTTTTACGAAATGAATAAAAGATAAAGTGGCCGCTTTTTGCTTAATTAAAGAGCGGAGCGGATCGCAGCTCGTACGAGGAGGGAATATAATCGGGCGCAATCTTTACCTTAATTAATATCGCGCGGCAGGACCGCGCGACGCGCGGGGGTTGCGTCATTCGCGCGAAAATGATTCCCGCGTACGAGCCGGAAGGTCCTCGCAAATGGGCTGCCGTGCGCGCGCCATCGATACTTGTGCTCACAGGAACCGCGGTCGATCGACTTTCGAGAGGTTTCGTGGCGGCGATACTGGTCCGACCGGATCGTAAGACGCGGCTGAATGAAGAAGACCGCGAAGAAAGAGCGACCACGTAGAGAGCAGAAAAACGTCCGCGATCGGCGGATCAGGGGTCCCTTTATGCGCACCGCGCCAACCGACAACAATGTCCATTCACTGTGCAGAAAACGCAGTGCGCCAAATAGCTGCGTAATAAAACCGGAATAAAACGATCGCGAAACGCCGCTCCCGCGGCCGTCGCCTTACGTAAACCAACACAGAGACGCGCACGTATCCAGATTTATTTTGCATAATCGCAGTGAAACGCGAGCCGCGATTTTGCGAGAAATTCCCGCCGAAACTTCGGACTAAATTCTCAGATGCAAATCGGCTGGCGCAGCCCCCCTCCCCTCTCTCTCTCTCTTTCTCTCTGTTTCTGTCGCAATGAAATAAAGAAAAAAAATCGCCGGTGCTCTCTCTCTCTCTCTCTCTCTCTCTCCTCACCTCGAGAAACGGACAGCGAAAACATTTCGTACAACACCCAGCTGTCCTAATATTTCTCAATAAACAATATTATCCTTAGTAGGAGGAGAAAAGGAAAATTTATACATTGAAACTGACTGCGCGCGTCGAGATTTCATGCCTAACATAATAATTTGCGCACGGCTAATCCGTCCTGCGACTCGCGCGAGAAGCTCCTAATATATGATTTATTATTCCAGGTGGACGAGAGGAGCCTCGGGAGGATTTCGAAAATGCTCAACGACGGGGTCGAGAATGCTACGATCCGCGCTTCGCCCAAGTTCGCCAAGTCGCTTTCCGATCTCGTGGTTTCCCTTTTAACGTTCGGTGTTTTCCATGACAATACGCTCGCGGCACGCCGTAATCTGCCCGGCCCTCCCCGGTGAATCCTTTCGACGGCACGACGTACTCAAGGAGATCTTGTATTCAGCGCGCTTTTTATCGACCTGTGCTTAATGGATTAAGTTGTGCGGCGGGAGGGCGGAACGTTTCGCGGGATATCGGCCAATTTAAATTCTGCATGAACACCGCATCACTTTAAGTGGGTTACCGCGCGACGATCGATATACGTCCACGTCCACATACAAACACACACACACAAATACGCACACCGTGTGTACGATCGGTCGAGTTTGGTGTATCTCTGGTGCCGACCGGTAACGAGTTTGTACGGACTGTGACTGGTGTCGGGCGTTGCCGGACCGGATTTCACGACCGCGGCCACGGCATCAAATAATGGCGTGAAAAATGGTTCCGGCGGCCGGATAAGCGCGCGTAAGAGGCTTTCCTCGAACGCTCGCGCCGGATTTGTACGGCCGGGCGTTTTTTTCCCGGATCATAGATCACCGACTCGCGCGTCGTTTCCTCCCGGCGCGGATTACTCCCGGCTAATCTGAGAGGGCCGCACTCTCGGCTTCGCTCTTACGGTTACGTTTGCGCGTATGAAGTCTCGCGGACGCGACTTTGATTTTATCAACGGCCGATTGCGGCGCTCCACTGTGGGTTCAGCCGATTCTTTTATCGCCGTCATGTTCGGAGATGTCTACGTCAGAGACTTCCGCTCAGTCCTCAAAGCGATAGAGTTCACGTTAGAGGAACAAGAGGAACGCCAATTTCCAGCGAAAAGTAACTTGAAATCTGTCCGCTAGAAATAATCTACTAGAGACATTTGTCGAAATTGCAACGGAGACTGCAACTACCGCGCGCGACTCGGAAGAAATAAAAATTCCAAGATCGTGATATTTCGAAACAGGCAGAACGCTTGATAAATCAACGATCTAAATCCCGCACGATCTCCACGAGCGCGGTAGTCGATTCGGTAGTGAAAGGTCCGAGTGATTATCGGCGATCGTAGATCGCGCGCAGAGCTCGCGAATAGCGAAAAGGGAGGGAATCGGTACCCGCGCTATGATTAGACTTTAACGAGCGCAGAGAAATCAGGGAAAGAGATATCAAGAAAGGCGCGCTTGATGAATGGCTTCGATCGGACCTTATAAGAAGCGGTTAATCTCGAAGGGAAGAACGGATCTCCTTCGGGCTTTGCAAGATTTATCGTTTCATCTCGCGAGCACCACGAAGCCCGCTCTCGTCTTTATCTATTTTCTCCTTCCCACCCCTTAGCTTCCCACTTTCTCCCCTTCTTTCGCCTCTTCGGCGCGATGAAAAGGAGCAGCAACAGCGGCGGCTCCTCCAATTCGTACCTCGCCTTATTCCTCGATCGCGGAATGCAAATCCTCCGCGAGTGTAGAAAGCGCTCGGCCGCGCACTGATTCGATCCGCGCCAAAGTGACGTGCGAGAGAGAGGGTAATAGCGACCGGTGTGTCTTAAATTTCTCGACGAACGGATTAAAAGCGGCTATCAATTTCTAAAGCGGATGACGCGCGTGTGTCCTGGAATTTTTTTTCTCGAGCATATCGGTCGGTTCTTTCTCCTTCTCCCGAACGAGCGAGCGATGCCACGGCGAGACACGGCTCTTCTTTTTCATTTCTCATCTCTCTCTCTCTCTCTCTCTCGACAGAAGAAAAAGGATTAATGGCCTCATAGCATGACACCGCGGCGTGATAAGATCGCGGGCTTCCTTTAGCCGTCGGCTGCCGAGCGCCGGCGATCATATCGGCGACATCCAAATCGCATCGTGTATCTGCTAAAGGAGCACGCGAGACGCGCTTTTATCGATTCGTCATTGTGTCCGGGCGAATTTCTCAGCTCGATGTGCCTTGAAAAGACACCTTGTCACGTGTCTCGTTCCCTCTTACAAATGTGTTCGCCTCTCGCCTCCTTGCGACGTGTCTCTAATGGCGTTCGCCATCCCCGTTGTAAATTTGCGCATAATTGGAAAAGACGTTTGCACAGCACACACTTTGAGGAGGCAGTTAAATCGAACTACTGCTTTAAAAAAATATTCCCCAACGCGTTATATACACACACACACACACACACACACACACACCACAATATCCATTATCTTCGGGATTAGCATTTCCTCACTGGAGGTATCAGGTGGTATCCGATAAGTCCGACGTTCGCGACTCTTCGCCAAACGACCGCTCATAAACTCGCGATAAGGGATAAGATACCGTGAAAAACGCCTCGCGTCGCGCAATACGCCGCAGCTCCTGCGGCAATTTCGGCAGCAATCTCGCGAGGATACGTGCAGTCGGGCGTGTAAAAAGTGTCGTAGATTGAATATCCGAGGAGAGACAATAAACCGCGCGCCAGCGAGCGAGCGAGCGAGCGCGCGCGGTCGCGGCAGGCTGCGCGCGCGTCTACCGCGGAGGAAAATCGGGATTTCACGGACGCGAGTCCGAGGAAGAAAGGAAGAGAAAGAGACGCGAGAGAGATCCCAGCCATAAAAACCTATCATACACTCACGCGGGATAAGGGAGACATATATACGAGGGAATAGCGCGAACTCGCGGCGCGGAAGATACCGTGGGGAGGCATTAAAAAGAATAGACGCTATCGGGTATCTCCTTCGCGCCTCCTCGCTCTCAGCGTCGAACGAACCGCTCGCAAAAGCGAGGCGATCCCTATTTCACTTTAAACCCGCAGTTACCGAGACGTATGCACGCTCGACTTCGCCGGGAGCCGACGCCGCCTCTGCCTCGCGGATGCATAAATTCGATAAGACCACCCGTTAGTGACGGTGCGCCGTGGTAGCGTTTTCTCGCGTGAAGACCGCGAGCACAGAAGAATAAGAGAGAAAAAAGACAGAGAGAGAGAGAGAGAGAGAGAGAGAGAGAGAGAGGAAAAGAGCGAGAGAGACCCGCGAAAACGATTTTACCTCCCCCTTTTTCCACCCTCGCCTGCAGCCGGCAGTTTTTTCTTTCGCAGGCGCGTTTAATTTCATCGCGGGAGACCCACCGGAAGCTTCAAAGGCGGTCGGGGCGAATTTCACGCCCACGGCGTTTTCGCGTGCCGTCGGCGCGGCGCGCCGAGCAACGCTCGTTATTGCCATTGTTGCAAATTGCTACTGTTGGAGCATTACAGCTCTAGGATCAATCCCGAGGGACATCTCTTTCTCTGTGGCGCGCCCCCCTCTCTCTCTCTCTCTCTCTCTCTCTCTCTCTCTCTCTCTCTTTCTCTCGGTTGACCGAGCGCGAAGGACGCGCGTAATAAGTTGACTTTCGGAGAAGCGTGCAATTACGGTTCTCAGGGTCTAAGTTTAGATCGAAGCAGGTGGTCCGTCGCGGCACATGAACGGGCGATATAGCCAGCGAAATTTCGCTTTGCGCGTGACACTAATCGAGGAACATTGGTCTCCTCTGCTTTTTTATATCGGTAAAGTCATGCGACGGTATTCGGTGGAAAACAGTGAGAACGATTGAGAGACACACGTGAAAAGATACGAGGTCTGATTCGTAAACTCACCGGTCGACGCTGCGGCTCCGGGCCCTGCCTGACGATCTCCAAGGGCGAAGGTATCGACGGCTTGCCTAGGTACCAATCCTCGCGCGGATTATAGTTGTCCAGGAGCTTCAGCAGGCGCGGCACGTTCACGTAATTGTCGTCGTCGAAGTGGCAGAACCATCTGAAACACGCGATAGCGAAACGACGCGATGTAATAACAAATCACAGCTTCGCCGAAGGACCTTATCGTCCCAATAGCGCATGTCGCGCGTGCGCATTATACAGTAACAATGCAGAACTCGCAATTTGTATCGTGATTAAAGCGTCGACCTCCAACGTGTCGACCTCCAACGTGTCGACGCGGGACGCGCACGACGCGGGAGGGAAGGAGAAAGAGAGAAAGAAAGAGAAAGACAAAGTGTGCGCGACGTCGCAGCTCGCTTTAATTAGGATTACGAGGATAAAGATTCGCGCCTCGTACGTATGTTCGTTCCCCGCTCGCCGGCTTGGAAATTAACGATTCAACAGATGCGCATCGCGCCCTTCACTTACTCAGCCGTAACACTCGCGGAACTTCCGTTCGCCGGCATTTCTCGATAACGAGGACGCGGCGCGCAGCTTAGCGACGCTCGAATAAGACCACGGAAACTCGACGCATGCCGCTTTGCTCAAGCGCTCTCCCCCCCCCTCCCTCTCTCTCTCTCTCTCTCTCTCTCTCTCTCTCTCTCTCTCTCTCTCTCTCTCTATCTTTCTCGCGGAATTAGTCGCATTGCCGTGTACTCGTTGCCGAGCAGTTTGAGAGCTACACGGAGAATACCGGAGTCGCCCCGGTGTAGTTTTCGCAAAGTAACCGACATAGCCGAAATCAGACAGAGCCGGCACGTTGACACAAAGCAGCGACTAAAACGGAATAGCAATGATCTCGGGACACTTTTTAACTCACGAACGATGGCCGGCGGTGTAATAATCGCGCGCAAGCCGCGAATGCACGTTTCTCAACACACTCGTTAACCCTTTAACGCCTGATTTCTTCATAAGTGTTTCAGGAATAAAATTTTAGTTTTTTTGAACTGAGACTATAAGTGGTGATAACCAGAAAAAATATCAGAATTTTATATTGGTTCTTTTTATCGCTCGTTTCTTGTTTATTGGTAAATATGACTTGGATCCTAAAAGCGTATACGAAATGAGCAACCTATTTAGAGAAAAGTAAAGGGTAATCTACATTACACATAACTCTGATAGTCAGCTTGACACTTTGGAGCTGAAACTTTACTATATTTGTGAGTGAAGTTTATCATTCAGAGCGTCAAAAGCTTACTATTTCAGAAGAATATCTTATAGATCACCATTTAGATAGTCAATCGTCCCTTCATTTTTCGCCGCATGAAAAGCGCTGTAGGTCACCAGGTTTCACGAAAATAGCTTGATTTCTTAACTTTCATGTCCACCATATTGGATTCGCCATTTTGAATTTCTGTATTCTTTTAATTTCACATTTGGCATCTGAGAAAGCTTCCAAATGTATAAAATTATAACAGATACCAATCTATTCATTTATAGTGGACTTCGAGATGTCAGTAACAATGCTAACTGTGCCTACTTGGAATTTGACAAAACATGTTATCGTTAAAACTGAGCTGAAAACAGACCAAACCGAATCTACGTACAACAATCTATATACCATTTTTTAGAAGAAGAATTCACCTTTACACTGGTGCAAAGAAAACGAAAATATCTCCTTGTGTCACTAAGTTATGGATTCTTAAGTGCGTTTCTGGTAACTATAGTTACCAGTAGGCGTCGAAGGATTAAATCAACACGAAATGGACGTAAACATTCGCCGTGGACGCGGAAAAGATAGATTACGTTTCAACGCACTTTTTGCGTTGATCCTCGCTACAGCTTCATACTGATGTGTGTGCGTTCGCTCTCACATTGAAAAAGAAAGAAAAAAAAAAAACAATTTTCCTCGCCTCTTCGGCGGATAAATCAATAATCGGAACTCGACCGATGAGAGCCACCAACGGTGGACGACGATTGGCAACTTGTCGAGCGCATGGCGCTCAATAATTGTCAATTCTTTTCGTCGTTATCGACTCTCATTATCATTCATTACTCCTTGACTCCGTCATACTCCTTATCATGAGTCACCGCTTCTTTCGCTCGGCTTCACACCAGCGATCGCGCGATTCGCCTCTTTCGAGCCTTTCAAAGAAAGGCTCTCCGCTCACCCGTACTGATTTTAACCTCCGCTCGCGCTCGCGTTGCATATTAGCTCCGAGATGATTTTCCCTCAATTCCTGCGGCTCAGCACGCTGCACGGCGGCTTCCGGTCGACCTCTCGTCACCCACGGGCGATGCGGTTGCGGCAATCAGAGTAACAACCCCGCGAGCGGCAGCGGCGGCAACACACCGCGACGCAATCGTACGCAATCGCCCTCCCCCCGCCGCCGTACCCGTCTACCCTGCGTGTAAAACCCTTTCCCAGCGCGGCTGAGGAGCGGCGGCGGCGACGCGGGTTCGTGTTGCCGGCAGTAAACGTCGTGTATAGCTCTGAGCGAGCGCGTAAGATAGGCGAAATAAAATCTCTCTAACGAACGGTTCCGCCGTGGCGGTTGCCATTAGCGTGCTACCGGGTGGCCACGGGTGGTCGCTACGTACCTGCCACGTTGGCCGGCGCGCGCGGCCCGGCCGTCGTTAATACACCTGAATTCCAGCTTAATGGCGTAGCCGGGGCTTATACACCGGCGAGAGGCCGAGAGCGAGGACGTCGCTCGTTGTTCGCATATACGATCGCGAGAGATCGTATCTGCCGAGCGCGAGAACGGGGTTCGCCGCGCGCGCGCGTTCGTTTCACCCTCGCCGCGACAATGCGCGCGCTTCGGGAACACGAACACGCGACGCTGAAAGGACGCGCTGAAGCCGATCGGCCGGCTCTCGCGCGATGTGTGTCCGAGACACATTTCTTTCTCGCGCGCCTTCTTCGACGGAGCCTTGACATTTGCCGGGCTAAAACTCGCCGATCCCTCTAATCGTCGTCCCCCACCGCGTCTCGGAATATGATACGATGTGTCCGCGATATGATACGGTACGTCAAGCTGTCGAAATGATAAATTAGGCGAACGGTCGTGACAGTCATGATGTATACTCGCGTACAGATACGGTATGTGAACGATCGCGGATCGGCTAATGAGTTTCGACCTGCCGAGTGTCGGGGCTTTATTGGTGTTTAGTGTAGACGCGCGAGAGGCGATCTTGAGGCGGGGTATTTCGAAAGAGCCGGTTCTTATGTGCTTGCGAGTAGAATGTGCATTATTTTTTTCGTCCGCAGCGAAAGACCGCTCGAGAGTCAAGCAGTTACGTTCGCGGGGTTACTTCCGAGGGGTGCGGCGGGCTCTGTTATTATACTTGAAAACGCGCACAGGCACTTGGAGTGACAGGCCCGACAGTGGGAAGCCGCGACGTATGTAAATCACGTGTCTGATCGGTGATATCTCGTATCTGCGATCTGCATATATATTAGAAACTACCTGCGGCCGAACGGCGCGTAACGCCTCGCGAGGGAGGAGAAGCGGGCTCGAGAGGAGGGAAGAAAGGCGCGAAATTTCTCTTGTTTCTTTTGCCGAACGGACAACGCTTGCAGAGTATACGCGCGCGCGCGCGCGCGCGCGTGGTCCATCGCGATTTGTTTTACACGGCGAGGAAACTGTCGGACATGAATATGCAACACGCGCGCCGAGCGCGTCGCGACTTGTAACGAGCGCGAAATGGAGTGGCTGTCCCCTGAAAAAAGCGAATAATTACGGAGCCGTAAATAAGCAAGCGCGAGGACCAAAACTCCTCCTCTCCCTCCTCCCTCTGTCTCTCACTCGTTCTTTTCCCATGTTCCCCGATCGCATCTGGAAGTAAACGCTACGAAAGCGCCCGCGTGTTTTCACGCAAGCGCAAAAGCGTGACGTTCCGCTTCGAAGGTAATAATCGGTCGAACTGAAAACGCGCGCGCGGACACTCGGACGCTCTCTGAAAGGCCTTTTAATCCGTTCATCAGTGCCGCCTCGTAAAATCGGGATAGCGCCTTTAATTAAACGTAATGCCGCGCGAAAGTATCATGCGACCCGGAGCTGCACCGGCAGCTGCTGAAAGAAACAATTAAATGCCGTCCTCTCTTTCTCAATCGCGGCTCGTTAGCCGGGCGATTTGGGCGCCCGACGAATCCGCTGAGATAAATCGCCCGCCGCATCGATCGCCGCGCGGAGGCAGATCCGTGTTCGGATATATGATTTCTATTAAGAGTAGCGCCACAGCGCTCGCGCGTGTCATTAATAATACATTCGAATGTCGATAGATACTAATGACTCCTCTCAGTGGATCTGAAGGATTTAAACGATTGTTCGAAAATACTCGCTGCCGCGATATACATCACGGGTTGCCCTTTGCCGGGAGTGCCGAGATTGAGCGGTTTGTTTGTGGGAGTTACGGGGGAAAAATATTTCAAGGGCGATCAAGTGGCGCTGAAAGAGAGAGAGAGAGAGAGAGAGAGAGAGAGAGAGAGAGAGAGAGAAACCAGCCACTGTGCCAACAATGCGTCTGTGTAAAAAACACAGGCAAATCTCGCCGGCGCCCAGCTGTTACTTCAACGGTTTCACATCACGCGTATCGTCACGTTTCTATCTCATATATACATGTAAACGCGTTCTCTATAGTCACGGTTGTCTTTTCATCGTGTTTTGACACGAGATTCTTATTAATAGATTCTAATTAATAAATTGCAGACGAATGTCTGAACTCCATTTCTCTGCCTTTCTCTCCTTTCCGTTCTTATTAAATCTCGCAGCGAAGCTAATAAAATTTGTAAACACAAAGCAGGCGCTCCCGACAGTAGCTAGATTCATGTGAAAGTTCCTTCCAGAGGGACGTCCTATAAAAGTTTTCTCTTTCCTTTCCCCCCCCCCGCCCCCCCCCGCCCGCCTTTCTTTCTCGGGCATACTCTGGCTCGAGTGCACGCGCTTGAACAAGCCGAACGTACGAGTCGAGTGTCGTCACGCTAAAATCGACATCACGCTCAGCTGAGCTCGATGAGTCGTGGGTGTGTCGCTCCGTTAATTAGCGTGTAAACGATCGCGTTACACGGGAGGCTCGCAGTGGCCGGATGTACGAAACCGAGTGAATCGCTCTTTC